CATTTAAAAATAAATATTGTGATAGTAAGGACAATATAAGAGAATATTTGTATTTCAAACTTACTATGATCAGATAATATTAGATGTTAATGGCTGTCTACACACAACAAATAAATATTACGAACTCAAGTAGAGGTCGAGGTACTTTTATTTTTCACTACGCTACATTTCAGATACATGGTCCATCATTAGGTGTCAGGTAAGTGTCTATGCAACTATGTTATGCTTTAATAGGAATAGAGGAACATAAACCATGTGTCTAAAGCCTTATGAAAATATGTAACATTTTTATCTTTGTGTAGTTAAAATTAAGATTAATTATGTATAACATGAGTGTATCTTAAAATAAGTGGTACAATAATGTCAGCAGTTATAAACTCAACCACTCGTGTATTCTGTTGTATAAGGATCATGATTATGTCCCTGTAGTTGAGTTTGGTAATGAATTGAGCATATAATTAATTCTCTGTGTTAATATACAAATGCCCAGTCATTATTGTGCTGTGTAATGGTATTTGCGTACCCTGGTCCTCCAGGTTGGGGGTTGGTCACAAGGCTAACAACCTTGCACCGTAAAAAGGAAGATGTTTTGAAACCTCAATCAAAGCCTCGGACAGACGGACCGAATGGAAGAGGAGAATTGAGGAGGCCATGGACTGAATACGGACCTTAGAGCCATAGAAGAAGAAGAAGAATGGTATTTACAGTGTGCTGTGGAGCACTGGGGTATAATGTTGGGAGGGAGGGGGTTAATGGTGGATAGGCTTGTGGGACTATTCTTTGTAATAATGATTGTATAGTATGTTGAAAATGGGATTGTGACTATATGCATGTATTTTGTTTAGTGAAGTTGTAATATAACAACACTGTATCACAAAAACTTTGAGCTCAACGAGAGACATAATCATGAACCTTATGTAACAGAATATATGAGTGATTGAGTTTTCTTCTTCTAATATGGTGCGACAGCCCGAAGTCGAGCCTTGGCCTCCTTAAAATGACGCCTCCAGACTCGCCTATCTTGAGATTTTCTTTTCTTTGGTTTACCTACTGGCCTCTTTCCAATAAAGTTGCTTTCCAGAATCCTTTTCGGTATGCATTTTCCATCCGTACGCTGGGCATGACCTGCCCATTGTAGTCTTTTTGTGATTGAGTTTTAACTGCTCACAAAATTATATGAACTTATTTTAAGACATATTCATGCTACACGTATGTGTTGATCTTAATTTTAACTGTACAAAGATAAAAATGTTATGAATTTTCACAAGGTTTTAGACACATTTTATGCTCCTATATCACCATTAAAGCGTAATATAGTTGTGTAGACTGATGATGGACCACATGTCTGAAACATGTCGCTTATTAAAAATAAAAGTATGTCAACCTGTAATTGAGTGCTAGAGCTTGTAATATTGATTTGTGTGTAGACAGCCAATAATAATATTATCTTATTTGATCACAACATGATGCTCCAATATAATCTAATTGCTATCATCACTGAGAAAGATGCAATGAAAAACTTGTTAGTGAACTAATAGTCGTACTTTCAAGTTTCTGGAATAGTAATTATTTAAGTGCTTTAAATTAAAAATACTTTTTTTCCCTTACCATTTCCTTTCTTACTCATTCTATTTCTCAAATAATTGTTTCTGTTGTTTTCTTTTTACTGGAAATTTCCAGTTTGAAAGGTGAAGTGGTGTACTCCTGTGAAGTACACATATCTTCAGAATGCAGCCTTTGAGATTTACCGTGCCCATTGGCATTCATGTTTTTCTGCTGCAGACAGAAATTTTGTATTGTAGTTACTTGTTGCAAAAGTTTACAGACTGCAGAGTATGAAATTATTTTTAATGTATTTTGTTAAATATTTACCACAAGAAAAATGTTTTTAAAAGGTTTTGTACCATAATGAGAAGCATGTTTCTTGTTATGTAATCTACATGATATCTCGCATGATAAATCCTTTCTTTTCTTAATTTTTTATTTTAACTTCAATTAAAGTAGGGTTTACATTGAAGTAATATGAATGAGCATTAAATACAAGCAACAGCTTTTAATTTAGACCAAAAATACTAAGATGTATTAAATTCTATGAAGTAGTTTTGTTCTTTTCAAAGATGAGACGTGATGACTGTAGATACGACATCCCGCACTGTGCTCTTGTGCAAAGAAGTCGTTAAGAGAAACATATTTTAAAATATTGATAAATAGCCACGGTATTGTTTATGTGATGTCGGCTTTACTTGTTTATGACTGTCGCCTGTAATTTTGTGTCAGATTAATTGTAAAAAATTCACACATTACAATCCATGACTAATAATATAAAATACAAATATTGTAAGTGCACAGTATTTTTGTTAGATGAACCAGTGATGTGATGGATTACCGATGTGTCTACAGATATGTTGTTCAGTGCGTGTCGATCTTGAAGAGTCATCCCCACAAATTACAGTAAGATAGAACTGCTCTAGTAATGCATATTTATAATGCACTCGGGCTGTATGAAGCTGGATAGAATTTGCAGAATGTGAGGTTCTCATGGCGGCAAGTATGAAAATGGCCGTCTTCTGCGTTGTAGCGCCATATAGTCTGTTAGACATTTATTGACATGGCAGAGTACTTGCCTCCATAATCAAGGCTATGAGTAAGCCGTGTGCAAGGAATTGGGTTGAGGTACAGGAACGAGTCGGTGAAGGCAAAATCTTGACGAGACCAGTGGGGAATAAGGTGAGCATTGTGTGAGGGAAGGGAACTAATAGGAGGCGGAGGGACATTCAATAGAGAAAGGATATAGGAAAAGGCCCCTACCAGACTACGCAGTGCTATAACCCAGAAGATAGCCATCTTCGTGGTTAGAATTTTTTATTTATTGTCATTAATTGTCCTTTTTTTTGCAGGTTTCGGTTTTACTGTTCTTTTATTACTGAATTATGTTAAATTTGTGTGAAGGTTTATTTCCCACGTGATATGGTGTTTAAGCACAGGGAAAGCATTACTTTACCAGTTTTTACTCTGATAATTCTAAAAAATATAAGTGGCCTGTACCATATCTGGTATGATGCTGAAAGATTGAGTTGTATTCATTCTTCCTTAGTTAGAACTATTCTGGTACTCTGATCAAGTAAACTTCCTTTTGTTTTGGTGACAGGACGACCCTCCAACTGCCAAGTAGTGAAAGTGTTGCGTCATGGTGAATGAGTGTTTCTTGTGAGGTCCATGTCCATGTGTTGGTATGTCTACACCGACTGCCACTTCTGTAACATTTTAATGTGGACATGCCTGAGTGAGTGCACATTGTGGCCTTATTTGTAAAAACGTTTATGGCTCTTAAAACAACTTGTTCATTTTTTTAATTGTCCAGAGCACAATTGTTATGTAACACAGATGCGACTTAATGTCCTAGCAATGTTTGTACGTTTGATAAGGCAGATGCTGTGTTCATCTCTGTCTGATAAGAAGCTTTACATTAAAATCTAAAACTAAATTAAGAATGAAGAATCAAGTTGACCAATCTGTGCTATAAAATGTCTAAATAAATGTAATCATTCAAATATGTTTATGCTACATTGGTAAAATTCTGTAAAATGAACCATTTTATGTCAGTAGACATTTCTTTAAGTTGTTCAGTGTGGAAGCTGGAAGTTTGTGTCGGTCCATCTGTCATAGACTGGTTCTTGTAATGTTAAATTTGATTCTGACTGAGAATGGCACTTTGCTAGACAGTTATAGTGGCTGCCCTACTGCAAAGTCTGAGTGAAAATGTCAGGTCATATTATTATTTAGATAATATATTTTAACTTGTTTCTTTGTTACAAGGACCATACATTGCTAGGCATAATGCCACTGTATTATAAGTGTCATATTAGAGCTGTATAGTAGAGATGAATTGTAGGAAGTAGCTGTTGATAATAAATGTTCTTAAATTTATTTGTGTATTTGTGATGCTTATTTTAAGTGTCCAAAATTCCCAAGGTCTATCACACATCGATGTGACGTCTACTGTTTTTACTCCCAAATTTTCAGATGATGCTGTAACAGACTGCATGAAAAGCCATTGTGCTCGTCAAGGTGACATTAAACATCACTCAATTTGCATGTCGTTCTTTATGTAAGGCAGATACTTTAAACTGGTGGAAATTTTATTAAAACCTAGTGATAACGTAAGAATTTGCAGCTATCGACAAATTAGTATTGACACGGTAATACAGAAGAAAGTGGTCCTTTACTTTTAACTATGTACTAAATAGAAAACATTTCAGTGATATAAATTCTTTGTGTAATGTGCGTATTATACGGAGCCATTTGCAAGAATCTTATTGAAGACTAATCGAACGCCAGTGTTGGTCACTCTGCAGTTACTGTTTGAGTGGTAGACCTGTTGGACAGTGCTACATGTTGAAACGCGTGTAGTAAGGTATTTAGTGAGTTACGGGCAGGACCACTGGATCGACTGTTGAAGCAAGGTACGTATGTCGTAATCTGCATGGCAAATAGGCGAATGGCGTACGTTTTGCACGGCTCATAGATTTGTTACATTCATGATCATTTTTCTGTACAGCCAAACGTTTCACCCAATGACCTTGCATGTAATTATAAGAGGACACGGCCGTTTGAAATTATCTATGATTGGAAGAAATCCTCTGATTCTGTTTGGTAGTATGACAGTGGACCCATATATGACTTATGGCGAAAATATTAGGTGTCGACATTCCACCATTTCTTTGTAATAGACAGTTTTATTTTTTAGTTTCCTCGCTGTTGGTTCGTCTCATAAAAGTGGGCGTACTTGTGATGTCAGCGATATTTCTGTTATGGTTATCCTACGTTGCGGGTGGCTGGGATTTCCTAGTGAGGTGATTTCTTTACTTCACCGTGTCTGATAGTGGCTTTGGAGATAGAAATATTTGCATTTATTTATTTTCTTTATTCCCATTCGACAACGAGACGAGGACAGCCGGTTTCTCAGTGTAAAATGAGGAAAATAAAGTTCCCATTCAAGGCATCTGTAGGTTGGGTTCTATGTGTCAAGTAGAAACGGAATCGGAGACACGTGATAAAATATATTAACAGGAATGACACAGTGCGACTTTTAAAGGAACGGGTTGTACTGCTGAACTGTTTAAAAACGCACAGCTGCATTAATCCCAACTGCATTCCTGTCGTTCTTGAATGTGGATAAGAGAAGAAATAAAAGAGTACATGCAAAGAACTATGTCATAAATGAAATTTAGTCTCCCAAGCCATTACAGATATGGTGATCGAATAAAAAAATCACATCATTGGCATTTATAAAACTGCGTCCCCGATTTTTCTGGACATTTCAAACGGATATGTTTCCTATCAAAGTAGCCCACACAATTAGGAAATTTTCATCTATCAAAGAATTCAGCAGCGTTCTGATGGTGAAATGCAGTTTCGGAAATTACTCTGCTTTTTTATTACTTCCTCAGTAGCATTTAATATGTATTGGTATGTATTCAACGACATCCTGTGATAGTCATGAAAGCAATTTGTCAAACGTTCGCGCGATGTCGCTTGCAGTGCGACCGCAGACTCAGAATGTGATTAACGCGATAATGTCTGGGCTTGTGCGCGTGACAGATGTTGGTTTGTTTTTGTCCTTAGCCGTACCTGATATATGACGTAATTGTGTCTTGACACTTGTGTTTAGCATGAAGTTTTCAAAAAACTTGGATTTGTGAGATTACGTCGTGCGTCCACTGACAAAGTTAAACGTGTTACTTCCTGGTTGTTGGCAGGAACTGCTTGACTCACCGTCAAGAGCCAAAGTAATGTATCATATGGTTCGCAATTTATTGTTTTGTCATGAAAAGTAGCCAAGTTGTGACTTCCCAGAGGGAGATCTATAATTAGTTTTCAAGGAAGAAGCAGGAAGCCTGCTGAGCAGACACTTCAAGGCCATCTGTCTCATGATAAACTGTGAATAAGGATCTTGGCAACAATTTACCACTATTTCAGTAATGATTGTCGACCATAATTTGCGTGTATTTATTTCAAGTAACTATACTACCGCTGCATAACGATGTTTTGAGTGCGTTTTGATATTTTTTATTTTCACAGTTAACACCCTCCTGGACCGAACATTGATCTGTTATTTCCTCTTATTTGTATTCTTCAGGATGATATCAGCAGGTGATCCACAACTATCAGTCGTTTTGTCAGGATACGGCGGCTATGAGTGTCTTAAGGTGAGCACGGTGTGTTTTCGTAGATGTGTGACGGGTGGAAGGGAATTGCAAAATGACTGTGTTGATGGTTTATTTCTGTAGGTGATGCCATGGCCAACCCGATTGCTGGGCAAGGGTGATGTGCAGGTGGCCGTGGTGGTATGCGGGATGAATTTTGCGGACCTTTATACCCGCCAAGGGTTGTTGCATGAGAGAAAGCCCCCATTCGTGCTGGGCATGGAGTGCGCTGGGAAAGTGACTGCTGTGGGCGACAGTGTGACGCACATCAATGTGAGCAGTAACGGTCAGATTTAGAATAGTCTACTCTCTCTCATTACACATTCATCTCCTGAGTGTACGTACCTAATAGCTATGAGGACGTGAAGTCTTTCCACCATTTCCATGGATGAACATCCCGGAATATTTCAACCACAATCCTCCGAAACGTGAAGTACAGTGACTTCAGAAAAATGCTGATTGAGGTTTCTTGTATTTTGCGTAGTGACTCTAGGAAACCCTGAAAATTGGCAATGAATACTTCCTCACAATTTCTGGAATTTGAGCCTGTTCAGAAAGTATAGAAATCCAATAAGTTTCCTTGACACCGCAGGTGGGGGACCGTGTTCTGTGCTACCAGTACACTGGAGATCTGTATCGGGAGCACGTGGTAGTGTCTGCCTCGAACTGCTTCGTGCTGCCATCTGGAATGAGCTATGAACATGGTGCAGCACTTGCAGCCAACTACTTGACCGCGTACTTCTGCGTACTGGACATCGGTCACTTGCGCGATGGGCAGAGTATCCTCATACCGTCTTGCGCAGGTAGTCGTCTGCCCCAAGTTACTGATCTACTCAAATTTAAGTGCAATAACAGCAGTTGTATGTGATCTTTACTCACTTCTCCTGAAATCTAAGGTTTGTTTCCTGATGTGTTTCTATTTGGAAAAAGGAAGAATTACCAGATCAACAGAAAGTGACTGTAGTCAATTCTGACATATCCTTCCTTTGTCATCTTCGTGCTACATTTTTATCCATTATTATTTTGGCATTGTTCGCACCAAAAAAGAGTGGAATTATCAGTAATTAGCAGTGTGGATTATAATAGATCGGATGTTTCACATTCAACAAGTATGTTTTGAATTGGACTTGAATGTTTCAGTACATTAATTGTTCATAGCTTTGAAGAAACCATATGACTCAGGAGAATAGTAATATTTTAATCGAATTTGGAATACCAAGAAATATATTAGGTTGATTAAAATTATGTATACAAGGCTTCCATTACATAAGTAATTTTGTAACTTTCATTATGACTGAATGCGATTAAATCTTGGGCAAATATCTGTGGAATTATGGAGTTACGCAATACGGTGTTTCAGACACTGCCTTTTCCTCCATCGTCAGAGTAGATGTGAGAGCGATATAACTACCCATTGTGTATGTACCCACAACTATCTCTTGGAGCCGTGTGCTTGTTTGTCCTTGAGTCAACCAATAGGGACAGTGGATGGAGTCAGGTGACCAGTCATACACAGTCTGGGCATATTGTGCTGCCATCTGTTGTCGAACCTTCCTTCCTTCTGCATGGCTTGTATTGTATGCCAGAGATACGCAAAGAACCGTTTCCACATTACCAGATCCAAGATAGACCCATAAATATTTCAGGGTGATAGGACGGAGCGCGAAGGTTCATCTGTAAGCTTTATTGCATTTATATTTCTCTAGAAGCCTTGATATTGAAGGTAGATGACAAAGTGGCACTTCTCTTCTCGCAGGTGGAGTGGGATGGGCAGCCACTCAGCTTGCCCGCTCAGTAGGGACCGTCACTATCTTTGGTACGTGTTCCCCAGGAAAGCGCGATGCAGTGCAAAAGAATGGTGTCACACATCCACTGAACCACGATAACTATGATCAGGAGCTGCTTAAACACAGCCCCGATGGCGTGGACGTAGTGATCGACAGCGTGGCAGGGAGTGCCTTCAGCACAAGTCAGCGTCTGCTTAAACCTCTGGGACGAGCTGTGCTTATTGGTGAGACGTAAGAAGTAGATCGAAAGTAGTTTGTGGGGAAATGGGTCCAAACAGGTTATTTTCCTCTTCAGTAAGGCACAGAGAGGGAGAAATGGACCTAAATGGGTTGTACCGATTGTACAAACAATGCATATCTGAAGGGTTCCAAAGGCGGAAATAAATTTTCAGAAGTAACTGGATGATCAGGCATCAATTAGGAGGCGTGGGGAATGATGAACACGTCTTATAAAGTAAATTATTAATTTACAGATTAGCAAAAAGTGTGCTGTGGGATTTGAGGTTTTTACAGTGGCAAGTCTGAAGATTTCTGTCTTCTGGGTTGTTGCGCTGTGTAGTCTGGTAGAAGTCCCTCGTCCTGATGATGGAGACAGCATTGACCTCTGAAACGTTGGTGGGCATCGACCATACTACACGGCGCAACAACCCAGAAGACAGAAATCTTCAAAAAGTGTGCTGTCACTTAGCATTGATTTATAAGTTACTGGGGACAGTAAAACAAATAAGAATGACTGTTTTCAGCGTACTTCGGAGCTGAGTACTTTTAAATACCATTTTCCATTTAATGCAATTATACAGACACAAACTTCACCTTTCATGCTTCAACTAAGCTACCAGTGCCAAGTTTTCATAAAACGTACTTTCGGTGTAAAAACTTGAAGACTTGCTTTCATAATCTTTGAATTGTATTCAGTATCTTCTTCTTTCGCTCCCTCCTTTTTGCCACGTCTTTACATATTTACGAGGCTCGAGTTCAGAAAGGAAACATGAATTTCAAATTATGGATCAGGGGTTATCAGAGTAATCCCAGCATTGATTAGACTTTTAACTAAGAAATTAAAAATTCAATTAACAAAATACTAAAAAGGCATCAGTTGAATAATGCATGTAGAGAATATTTGTTCCAGTTTGCCTGATCTTTAATGTCCGGTATTCACATCTCAGTTTTGTGAATGCTTCGTCCGACATGTGAGCCGAGTATTGAGAGCCGTCTGTTGGTCTGATGATGTCACAGGCTCAAGCAGCGTGGTGACAGGCAGCAAGAAGATTGGGATGTGGAACTTTCTGCGAATGTGGTGGGACACCAAGGGCATCAGCGCTACAGACCTCATCATGCACAACCGTGTGGTGGCGGGTCTGCACCTCGGATTGCTGATGGAGCGGGAGCCCGACCGCATTCGAGAAGCTATGGATCACTTGTTCCAGCTGTACGAAGAGGGGAAAATCAAACCTTACATCGACTCCACATGGCCACTTGATAAGGTCCAATTCTCACTAAGTATTTATTTGTAAATTTATTTAACGACGCTTCCAGTTGCTTTAGATTGTACAGCGTTGAATGGAGGATGCATAATGAGTTGGTAAGTGTGAGGAAGGAAGTGGTCGTGGCTAAATGAAGGTACTGTCACAGTATTTGCATGGAAGGACTGAGTAAAACCATAAAATCCTTGGTGAGGATGGCCAGTCTCGGCTGAGGCATCAACCCGTGGCCTCCCAATATGAAGTGGGAGTCACTTTTTAGTACCTGAGACTGTTTTCTTGTAGTTGGACAGACATTTAGACCGCTTGCACACGTGAGCCGCTCAGCTGAGCAGCTCGCTGAGCCGGTATGCAGCTCACGTGCAATTCAGAGTTTGGCTCTCGTGACCCTCCGCTAGAGTTACCTATTACAAACAACTTACTGGAGTTTCTCCCCCGTATAAATGCGTTGGCTAGACTGGCTTGATCTGCAGCTCAGTGAGCCTCGTGTGAAAGGGTTCCACGTCAAAGCAGGCAAAACTCTTCCCTCCAGTAGCCGCTACTCGCGGGGAGAGCTGAGTAGTGGCTCATGAGCCGCTCACACAGGTTCAGCGGCTCTCGTCTGAAAGGGTCCAATGCATTTTGCTGAGATTTCTATCCCCATCAGTCGCTTCAGCCCATGTGAGCCACGTGTGAAGGGGCCCTTAGAGTGAAGGCCTGGGTTTAATTGTGGTCCATGTGTTTTATGATGAATAGGGTGGCTCTGGGGTAAATTATTCTTGTCTTTCTCTACCAGTCATTATGTTATTGATGATTCATATTAATTTATCAGTGGTTCATGTGATCTTTACAGGTGCAGTCTTTATTTAGAGTTTGACGTCTTGACTTGACACTTGTTGGCAGGATCGAATTATTATGACTGTCAGCAGGTGATTTGATCTTCGTCTTTACCACAACTTCCTGATCTGTTATTGCAGGTGGTAGACGCCACCAAGGTCCTGGCCGAACGAAAAAATGTGGGTAAGGTTCTGTTGACAATCGAGAGAACAGACTCTAGCGAGCTCTGAAGCATCACACTCCATACATTTGAATAATTAATTTTTTCATACTGATTTTAGAATCATCAAGAAATATAAATATACATTTATACATTTGTACTGAAAAGACAAATTTAAAAATAAACTTTGATTATAATGTCCTGTTTGTATTTTACATAGGGCATTCTTCCAGCACCCTGTCCCGCTGGATAGTCTTTATGCGAGGCATTTAATGTCCAGTCCACATCATCATCATCCCATTTTCTGTAGTGGGCATTTCAATATGAACCTTCCATAAACGCATGTGTTTGCCGGAGTGACCTCATTGATTCAGGTTCATCAACAAAGATGCATGCTATAAACCCCCCCCCCCCCCCCCCAATCAGACGACGTGCAATTCCATAAATATGAAACATTTCTTGGCTAGATATTAAGTGCCAACTGCTTGACGGTTAGCTTCAATTTGGGAGCTACCTTGTGTTTTTTTAGCATTATTTTAAATTATCCAAAACATGATGAAAATTATTGGAAGAAACGAAAGGTACTTTATTGAAACGCGCATGAAAATTATGAACTACTGTCGCTGGCATTTGAAATAACGTTTCTGTTCCAATCATAGCCGTGGCCATAGTGGTGAATGCCCCGGACTGGCTAGAATCGTACCGCCAAACCACTGAAATTTGAGGTATATAAATTAATTTTGTTTTATTCAAGATTATAATAGAACCACTGAATGATAGTATTAATGACTTTCAGGCCAGGATCCGTCAATGCCTAGCAGACTAAAGCGAATCCACGTTAAATTTACAGACGCAAGTTTGCGGTGTTATGCTTCATGCCATTTCACTCAGGGACCAAAAAACAGTGAAAAATATTCGACAATGGATGCAGAGAGCGCTAATTACACAATTGAATGTGAATAAGCTGAAATTTGCGTTTGTTTCACATATGAGCATGCACTGAAAAATTTTTTAGTAGTACTTGCTGATGCCATCTGTTACCGGTTGCTGAAATTAACTTTCTTGTTGGTGAAAGCGAATTCCCATAGATGGCAGTGTCAGTATTTATAACGGTACGATTTACCGCAGTAATGTGTATCTTCCCCAAATTAATTTTGTTTTTCAACAGTTTCTTTGCATTTTAATTTGTCTTCTCAAAATGAAGTTTGAATTTCTCTTAAGTAACCCGAATGTTCATCGTTGTAATTTCAAAAGCCCAGTACATCTTTCGAATCACTCTGAAGAAGTAGACAAGGAATACAAATTTCGAAGCTCTTTGTAATATTCCGTAGCTCTTTATCGTCTAAAAGACCTTCGAAGCTTTACTGATTTTTCAAATTTACAGACTGCCTCTGGTACAAAAGGACAAGTAAAGCCTTTGTAAGAACTTGGAGCCACAGACAACACGTCTGCACCTTGTTTATTCTGTTTGATAATGTTTCGAAATGTGTCCTGCAGCAGAACGAATTGCTTTAGAACTGGCAATCATCGGTTTATGCCGAAAAATGTGTTCAGTTTATCGCCATAATTATAGAATTCAATAAATTCTTGGATTCCAAACATTGAATCGAAACTCGGCGTAGACATTTAAAAGCTAGGCCGGGGCGTGATGCTGACCACTGACCCCCACCTAGTGCTTAGGTTGAGAATGAGTAGGACATACATCACCTCTCCCCTGTGCGCCTACATGGCGTGTAACGGAATAGCTTTACCTTTCACTGAAATTTAAATGGTAGTGAGAAAATAAGTTACTTTTTATCGCAAATGTGGACCGATGAGCCACGACTAGTGTCTCCCATTCTATTGATCTGAGTGAAATGAATCTCTACCCTGTAAGTGATGTAATAAAGGAATATTATAGTAATTGGTTGCAACATTTAATTAAAATGTAAGATAAAATATTATTTTAAAAAGTACTGAAGTACAGGCCTTCATGAAAGAGAGACTCAGGAAGTCCAAAGAAAAGATGGCGAAATGTATTGTGAAGACGCTTCTGTTTTAAGACATTTTGAGGTTATGTCCTAGAATAGTTTGATTTCCTTGCTTGCATTTCGTGATACTTTTCCTTTCACCAGACTTTGAGTAAGAAAGGGCACTACTGACGTCATGAGATAGTCTCCTTTGAATTCAATGATGTCGTCGAGTTTCCTGTTGGTTGTTTGTTAAGCGAAATTGTGATAGCCCTCTGGGGACGTGCTCTTTAAAATGCGCTGCAGCTGTGAAATGCCTGTGTTACCGCTCACATTTGTATTGTTATTTAATTGTTACGTGTTGGGTGCAGTGCGGATGTGCTGCTCCAAAAAAAATCCAATTCAGATCCTCACACCCCACTTAAAAATCCGTTTAAGATCATCGTTTGATCAGATCACACGCTAAGTGTCCCAAAGAGGTTTTTTTTGCATATTCAAGTTTTTGGACTAAAATCTATATGAGTTTTTAAGGTCTCCTTCATGTGAACGTGATGACCCTAGTTCTTATACTTTGATCTTCTACTCGTAGGACGATGCAGGTACACCGTTAGGAGGACGTGACTACAAGATAACAGAGAAATGTAATGAGATGGGCAGAACATGTAGCAAGCGGAGAAGAGATTAGAAATTCTTACATAATTTTAGCTAAAAGGTCAGGAGAGAAGAGGCCACAGGCGTACATGGGATGATATTATTAAAATGAATCTAAAATGAATAGAGTGTAAAAGGTCTGGGCTGAACTTGCTCAGAATAGGATTTAGTGGCGGGCGGTCGTGAACTCGGTGGCCTAATGAACCTTTGGGTTCTATGACAGGCGAGAAACTTCTTGAACAACCGACGAATGTAAACGTCTCTTGGACGACTGTTACTTCAGTTGCGTGGTATGACTGACATTTTTTCATGTAAAGGTTAGAGAATCACTTCTTGATTTTATGCCTGGAGTCTCGTGCGGTGTAGATGTCATATTTCATGAGTGTCGCGGTCTTAAACTGGTCACCGGTAGCCCGTCAGCACGCGGAAATAACTTGTTTCACTCCACTGGTAACATCGACTTTATCAGACATTCTTTCCATCTTAGTCCGTCTGATTTATTTTCCGTTCTAAATAAACGATGAACTTTACATTTAAATGTGACGTCACTACAGCGGTTGAGAGGATGACAGACACATGTCAGTAGCTTAATTACGGGTAGTGTGTGTGTGTGTGTGTGCGCCGAAAAATTGAAAATGTACAGACAAAACAGAATAATACAAAATTGTACCGAAAATTGAAAATGTAGAGACAAAACAGAATAATACAAAATTGTACAAAATAAAATGAATAATACATAGTAGTGTAAAGAAATCTAAGATGTACTAGCGAAGCGAACGTAAAATATAACGTAATAAAATACATATGCTATTCAGATGGCACAGTGTGATTTGGTGATGTATATTATCGTATTCAGTAGGTGTGAAAATTAAAATAAGGTAATTTTTATAGAAATCCCGTACTTTTGACTTTTTGTTAAATTTCAAATTTCATTTATGGAGACTTATAAAATAGAGATAACATTTGACTGCTGTGCCGGTAGGACTGTAAAACGCTGCAAGTGATTCCCTTATTAAAGGCCGCGACGTGTTACCAGCGGAGTCGCCAAATACCCTCATTGTGTATAATAATTTACAGAACTTAAAATCTGGAGATAAATTTGAGAGAGGAATAGTTTTGGTTGTCATTTTGAAGACGAGCGGAAAAGAGAAATACAGAAAACGGTTTTTTGGGACCTCTTTCAAAGCCGCGCCGTGCATTTCAATCAGCAGGTTCTACTGAACTCCTCTGCGGACGCCAAGTGTAAAGCAGCGACCCGTTAGTGGTCACAGAGTTCGCCGTCGTAATTAGCTAGAGAGTGGATTCAGAAGTTTCTTGTAACCTTGCTTGGTCACGACTCTTTTTAAGTGCGTAGAAATGAAAACGGGCAATTAGTCTGTCTGCCTGTTTGCGAGTTTGTACGTGACGGGGCGTACTTCGAACCCTCATCTGACCCATTTGTGCTCCAAGTATTGTAGAACCCGCAGTGCGATCTGATTCTGCAACGCGTCCCCAGGTCGCCGTTAAACAGCAGAAGATGTGAGTTTGCTTTGTCGGCACAATTTACGCGTGAAGACACAGTTAAAACCTCTGTTGATTTCTCGTAATTCTGACCACGTGATAATAGAGACGCATTATTGTACGCTGTTCGGTTACAGGAACTTAGGGTTTCCATGTTCATGTTAGACGTCTTCCACCCTGAAGATGTAGGCGATATGATCCTTCGGAACTTCGGTGATCACCTGCAAGACAACATGGCGTAATAGTTTACAAGAAATTTATCAAAAATTTGTTGCTAATCGTCATATAAATCGAGTGTAAAAGCAGATCGATACTGCGGTTATTTGATGAAAGTCCTTTTATTATAATAAATTTAAAAATTAACAGGGAATAAACACAAATTTATTTAATTAATTTTTATTTTCCTGTCATTTCCCCCCAGAAAATTGTCGTAGACTTTCCGTGACCTGGTGATGTCTGGAACCTAAGGGCGTCCTGAACGTTAAAGCAGTCGAAGTATGAACTTTTATCGTTGATACAGTTTGAGTACAAGAATGAATTTCCATCTGTATGAGCAAAGTCTATCAACACTGAAATGACCGAGGGACTTTAGAGCGAAAATATAATTCTCGAGGACGAA